TTTTTAATATTTTCTTTAATATTATAAAAATCTTTAATTTTTTAATCTTTTGGATTTCGATTATAATATTAAAGTTATTTATATATGATATTATATTACAATTTACTTTTGAAATAAAGATTGTAGTATTATAATTAAAATTGTTTTTTGAAATAAAAGTAGTATTTAATTTAAAGGTTTTTATATAGCTGTTTAAAAAATAAGAAGAATAAAGAGTATAAGCTTAAGATAATAAAATAAAATTACTAAATAATCGAAAAGTACTTTTAAATATACTTTATATAAAGGTATTATTAATAAACTTTTTAATTAACATTTTTTTAATTTGTCTATAGTGATTATATTCTTGAATAGTAACTTTGAGTTTATTGATTTTTATAAGTTTATTGATAAGGTTTTTAGTAATAGTATATTCTTTAATATAGAGGTTAATAGCTTATTAAAGGAAATCGTACATTTTCCTTTCTAAATTGTAGAAGAGCATTTTATTGTTAATAATTTTCATTTATATACCAAATAGCTGAAACTTTCGATATTATAATATGAAATTATCTTGTTGAGTATTATTAGGTATAATCTAATGTTCGTACTCAATTTATATATAACCGATTTTAATAAGGTTCTTGTAAATTGCTATAAACTTATCAATCAATTAAAACTCTATTAAGAAAAGGATTTGAATATACAAAAAATATAGATATTGTTATACTTCCCCTTTTATTTAATTTATTATATAAAATTAATATTATAATTCTGAGATAAATAATATTATTTATAATTCTAATTGCTTAATAATCAATAATAATTATAAGTTTGCTTTTAATTTTACATTATCTTTAAGTTTTGATAAAAGATTAATAGGCTTCGGAATATATAATCTCTCTATGAAAATAGTATCAGAATACAAATAAAATACAAACTAGAATAACAAGTTACAATTAAGTATAATTATTAATGAGTAAGTATTTCTTTCTAAATAAAAACAAATTGTTTCAAAATATAACCTTGAAAACAATTTTTCTTCTTTTCAAATATAAAAGTATTTTGTTCAATAAGTTTTATAAGAATATTAAAAGTTTGAATTTTACGTTTCATAAAGGAAACTATATAAAATTACTATAAAAGAATATAAGATAAATTAACAATATTTTAAACATTATTAATCTATACTTATAATCAAACAATCTGTTTTTATAGAAATTAAAATGTTTATATTTATTTTACATACAAATATATTTATATCTTAATTATATTAATATTATATTAAAATTAATAAACAATTCCTTTTTCCTAATTTTTTCCTTTTCTATCAATATTAATATTAAAATTTAAAACAATATTGTTATTACTTTTATAAAATTACTCTTACTTCTAATAAGCAGATTGATTAATCGAAAATCGATGTATTTCTAATATTAATATAAATGAATTAATATCAAGATTAACATATATAAATATAATAATAATATTTATGATTCAGGTATTTAAAAAAGTATATTTTTATTAAAAATTATTTGAAATAGATCTTTTTCCTATAAATAATATCAAATTAATACAATTCACTCAAGAAGGTATTAAATTATAAGATATTATTTAATTGATCACTAAATAATTATATAATTATATAATAAGTTGTAAATAATATGGCACTTTGTCATAAAAGAACTACAAAAACAAGGTACAATTTATCCTTAGAATTTATAATTATCAAATCAAGAGTAAAGTGCTTATAAAGCGCACCTATATACTAGCTATATACACGTGATCGTGCATATACACGCATGCGCACGTGAGCGATCGTAGTTGCGATTGAGGCCGATTCGTGACAATAAGTTGTTCTTTTCTTTTATGACTTGTAATGCTCATAAATTCATATAAATAAACACTAATTTATTTATTATTTTAATAGAAAATTGATTTTGTAATTTAATTTGAATGAAGTTCATATAAGAAAACGCTTTCTCAGATAATATATTATTAATAGTAGTAGCTAATAGATCGAAAACTAACTTTAAAAGAAAAGATACTTGATTTTTATATATATAAATAATTGAATATTAATAAAAAAATTCAAAAAAATTGAAGATTCTTAAGACTTAAGAAGAAAGTCTTAACTTATTATGATTTCTCAAAAAATATTAGGATTTGAAATCTTTTAGTACAATTTAAAGATATTAAATTAATTAAATTAATAACGAAATACTAAAAAGTAAATGAATTCTAATTCTTTAAATACCTCTCTGATATAAGCTTTAATCTTTTATTTAAAAAGAGAATAAAGATTATATCGTATTAAAAAGAATTAAGAATATATGAGGTAATATAAATAGATTATAATTATAAATTTATATATAAATTTCACCCTCCTCTAATAACTCTTAAGTAATAATTTTTAATATTATAAGAAAAAAGAAATATACTCATAATTTTAAAATATTGAAAGTACATATTGATATTAATCTAATAAGAATAGACATAATGTTACGACGGGTAACATTGGATCACGTGACGAGTGTCATGTGACAGGACGTTGGAGCCTTTGGAGCTTAGGATCCAAGGGATCCAAGTAGAACAGAACCATGGGTTTCGTAGAGCAGGAAGGTCTATATAAAGGAATGAGTTTCATTATAATGTAGAGCTTCGTGCTCAAGAACAATCATTAGTTTCATTACTATAGTTACGAGAATTGCAACCAGTTACCAACCTTATTGAATTCCTACTTGAAGTCTAGTCTAAACCACCTCGAGAGAACTCTAGACACTTCCACGTGACCCTAGAGGCAGCTCCCGTAACACATAAGCTAATAAAGCTTTATTTAATTCTACCATTTTTAAGCTTTATAAATAAACTATAAAATAATATGAGTAAATTAAAGTTCTTATTAAACATAGTATTAAGAAATATATAATTAAGATACTATACTTTTTGAATTGATTTAAGTATATATACTTAAATACTTTATTTTATAGATACTATTCTAATTAAAGTCTAGATCTTACTATAATTTAAACTCATAATAAATTAAAAAAGAAATAACTCTTAAAATAACTTTATAAAGTGTATAACAATATCGTTAGTTTTTTTAAAAAAGAAATAAGATTTTTTTGAATAAAAATATTAAATCAATCTTTATTAAAAAATCAAAGATTTTTAAATATAAATTATAAATCATATGAATTACAAGGAACAAAGTAAATATACTTTAATTTAAAATTATTTTTCATTAAAGTCTAGTATTTACATTATATAGAGTATATATCTAATAAGAAAGTATACTATTTTGAAAGGTTGCTCTTAATAATCTTTTATATAATAATAAAAATATAATTAAAGATAAACTTAATATTCTATAATTTATTCTTTATAATAGAACCCTTTTAATAAAATAATTATATATTAATTATAAAAGAAATATTTTTGATACAAATCTTTATGATATTTATACTTCTATTATTAATGAATTGAATGTAAAAAACGGTATTAATAAGAGTATTTAATTTACTTTTTAATATGTAAATAGATAGTATTAAATAGTTTATTACTTAAAAACTCATAACTAGGAGTAGTAAATTTGATTCGTTGAAAGAATACTTTCTATTTAAAGGTTTTATAAAATAAGAGGTATATAATAGAAGTAAAAATAGCTTTGATAAAGAAATATCTATCAAAATTTCATCTTTTTTAAAAAAGTTGATAAGAATAATAATATTTTGAGATTGTTTTACTTTTCAATTAAAATATTCAAAGTATTTTTCGAAATAATAATTTTGAAATTATATAATATTCTAAGTTTTCATTAAATTATAGAACTTATATTTTACTTAATTGACTTTGTAATCTTTAGTTAATTTTAAATGATTAAAGTAATAGTTATATAATAGCTTTTATATAGAAGCTTACTTGTTGAATTCTATTAGATTAATCGAATAAATGAATATAAATAAATAAAGAATATAATAATAATAATACTATTATTAAAAAATATGAAAAAGGATTATAATTAAAATTCTGAAAAAGACTTTAAGTATATTAAATGAAATAAATAAATTTAATTAATTGAATTAATTTATTAATCCCTTAATAATTTCTTAATAATCTAAAATTCTAGAATAAACTCTTCATATTAAACTTTTTAATTACTCATCTAAAAGTTTTTCAGAAATAGATTCACTTTTATTCATTCTATTGATTTAATTGACTTGAAAAAATACATGAATAATCTTGGCGTAATATTTAATTACGCTCAAAAAGTATGATAATATAGAATTATGTATTCAACCCTCGGATTATATAATCCGCCCATCCGTAGTTCCTATACGAAGCATCGTGAAAAATAAAAGTCGTGATAATTTCATATCCCTGAACAATCTTCATATCACTTGATAGAAAGCTCATCGAATCTTTATACAGAGACTCGAGGTAATTGTAGCATTTAAAGCTAGATCCCTAGGTAGGGTGGCTCAGGTGGGTACTCGCAACAGGATGGGCCATGAAGGATAGAGCTTAGCGTATGCCGAAAGTCATCATCAATGCCTACTAGCAGACTAGGTACCCTAAGCCTGGCTCGCCTGGGTAGGTACACCTAGATCCGAGCTTTTAGCAACCTCAAGCTTAGGAACTTCTGTCTAAAAAGTCTATCATTAGTGGTGAGACGTTTGTTGAGTAACGATCTGATTTTAATACGAATATTAAGTCGCGCATGTACTTACAGAAATTTTCTGTAATTCCTCAAGCGTTGTAATTTCGGTTGGATATTTTGGTAGCGAGGTCGGAGACAAATACCCAGGTACCAAATGTTGATATTGGAGCTAGGGGAAGAATGATTGCAAATTCCTTTTGTGCTTGTATTCAGGCTTGTATGTATAAGCACGAGCACTGTCTTGTATATAGCTACGTATCTATACATCATATACGTAATAGGTACATTTCCCGAAACATTATAAATATAGATAGAAGGTATGTAGTGGGAAGTAAGGTTATTGAGTTAAGATTTACATCAAACTACAGCTGAGCTTCAAAAATGCTACCCAAAGGCGAGAGCAAGAAATTACTAAGTAAAAGCCACCATATTTATTATCATTTATTCATCACTAATGGTTGAATATTATCGACCTCAAAACCTCTTCATCAATTGAACCTACCTACAGGTAATATAGTAAACTTTCAACAGTACTCGAGTACCTTGCAGAAAATATCCATCGTCCCCATAATCCTCTCCATTATTTTCATCATTTCCCCACGCAACGCACTGCAGGACCATTCAAGATCGATCCACCCACCCGAAATAAACCCTGGCAACATGAATACTGTTGAAGAACCTCGAAACCGAAACCAAAACCAAAACCACAACCTCAACATCATCAATACCGATAGATCCTCATCACCAAATCCAACCAAGAGTATATCACCAACCGGCAGAGCTTCAAATATTACCGGTGATGAGCCTACAGCAACTTTAAATCGACGTCGTACCAATCGTTGGTCCACAGATGGAATTCCTTCGGGGGGAAGCCGCCGTAGGAGTTCGAATTTCTCGGAATATTCGCTGAACGAATTTAATAAGAGTTTAAGAAATTCAACAGACGACATTTTATTTCCTAAACCTAGCGACATGAAGGAGGAACATAATCATGATTCTTCACACTGGGATTCGGCCCCTCTTGCCTTTGCCCTTTTGCCAGCAATTGGTGGTCTTTTCTTTACAAATGGAAATTCGGTCATTACGGATATTATGTTACTTGGATTTGCGGCCATTCTACTGAATTGGTCTGTAAGGGTACCCTGTAAGTCATCTGTTTCCAGAAATTTGGAATCCGCGATGTAGAAAAATGGCAGCGAACCGGCGTTGGGGAAGTGTCCATAGTAATCAATGCATGCTAATAATTCAGGGGATTGGTATCATTCAGCACAATCCATTCGAAAGAAAGAGGTATATAATGAGGAAATGGATCGGGAGAAAGGAAGCGGGGATGATTGCGCAATGGACTCTACGACCGAAAACCTCGAGAACACGTCGGACGACAAACCGAACTCGCATTCCAAAACAGAGCGACGTCAGCCTGTACACGAGTCTGCTACCAATGAACTCTATGTTCATGAGATATTGGCTTTGTTATCATGTTTCATATTTCCTGTAGCCGGAGCATATATACTACATTCAATACGATCACAATTAAGCCGCCCTTCCGAAGGATTAGTCTCGAACTACAATTTGACCATTTTCCTATTAGCATCAGAACTGAGACCAATGGCACATTTAGTCAGGTTACTACGAGCAAGAACACTGCATTTACAAAGAGTTGTGAATTCACATTCGTGCCATGGTTCCAGTGGAAAAAAGACTGAAGATAATGAAGCGTTGGTCCGAAGATTGGAGGAATTAGAGGCGCGAGCCTTGAATGTAGAGTCGTCTACCGGAAGCATGCCGGAGCTGGTCTTGAATGGGAAGCAATCGGCAATTCTTACTACAGAAGTTCGTCGTACAATGCAACCAGATTTAGATGCTCTAAACCGAGCTGTACGTCGTTATGAAAAGCGTGCTACACTTCAGTCCTTCCAAACGGAAAGCCGTCTATTAGATTTGGAAGCAAGGTTGAATGATGCTATCTCATTGGCGGCAGCAGCAGCCAATAATTCACAAAGGCGTGGCAATTTCGGAATTATATTCGATTGGATATCTTCAGCTATGATTCTCCCATTACAAGCTTTCGGTACTATCGCGAGCCTTCCGTTGAAAACACTTCTCTCGGTGATCAATTGCAGTCGATTTCTGCTTGGCGGCTATGAAACAATGGAGAAACCTAAGAGAAATTCGAACAGTCGATATGTGCCTCATTCAAAAGTTATTGATCGTGTACAAAACAAAATAAAGAGATGATGATATAACAGTTGGAAAGTTGGAATTTGGTCATGACAATCATAAAGTTAGAACCAATGAATGAAATGTTTCATGCCACTTTTTTTCTTTTTTTGCAAGGAATTAATGAAGAAAGTCTGTTCGTAAGCCTTTTGAAACACGTCGTCGTAAAGAATCTGTGATTGATTTCCGAGGGTCGAATAGTTACACTGGCTGTGAGATACGCATCATAGGGGTTCTATCAATCGAGGACGTCAGAGGTAGTCTGTTGTCATGCGGATGTAACGCATTCAAATCCGACTTTATTGTTGACGGCTATCGATTCAAACAACCTTGAGAGAATATGGCGAGAAGTAGGGTACATAACGGGTACTCGCGAAGCGGATAATGGCCTCGACGAATAACCCGCGGATTATCTGTAATGAAACGGATAATTCAAAATCTTGAACAAATAATCTGCAAATTATTTACAAATTATCCATAGATATTTATATACCTATAGATAATTTATGGAGTAAATAATTTGTAAATAATTTGTAAATAAACTACAGATTATTTGTAAATATACAAGTAATTTACAAATATATAAGTAATTTGTAGATAATTTGCGGATTATTTGTAAATAATCTGTATGATAAGATAAGATTATACTCAGGTCTAGTCTATATATATACAAGTTCATATCGTGATATATATCGATCTTTATATTAATCTTACTATTTCCCTAGTCTAACAGATTAATAGATTCAATTCACGTGTAGCTTTATATAACGATATTCAAGAAAGATTAATATTTATTTTATTATTTTGAATATAATTTATAATTTTTCATTAATATAAAAGTAATTTATTATTATATATTATAATTGATATATAAGAATTATATCTTTAGTTTGAATGATTATGTGTTTTATATAAATAGTATATAAATTTTAAATAATTTATAAATAATTAATATATTTTATATATTTTATATTTTTATATTAATATTTATATTAATTATAAATATTATGTATAGGTAATCTACAAATTATTTGTAAATAATCTACGAGTATATGAATAGGTAGATTATTTGTAGATAATTCGTAGATAATTTATCTATTTATATATTTATAAATTATTTGCAGATAATCTGTAGGTTATTTGTATAGAATAAATAATTTTAAAGTTTTTATAGACAATCTGTGGAGCGGGTAGGACCTCTAATGGGTAATTTGTAAAGTGGATTACCTGTAGGTTACCTGCGGGTGTGGATAATTTTTGCGCAGCCTAGCGAGGAGTTGATGAAATCCGAAGTTTGTTCATCTATCTAAGAGGAATCGTGAAGATGAGTGGGAAAGCGTAAGTCAACATGATCCGACTTGATTTCCAACAATTCAGATCTCGCGGTTTAAGAATGGTAGATGCCCTTCACTTGTGATTTCCCAAATGTTGAGATTTCTTTTCACAATTGTCATAATTATTCTCCCGCACTTTAAAACTTTCCAACCTTTTAGTCTAACGACAATGCCCCTCAAGTCGGACATTCAAATTAACGTTGCAAAGTTTGAGCCAAGCAATACATCAGCAGGTACAGCTAAAGCTAATGAGGATTTGATCAACTTGCTGAGGGATGGTCCGAAATGGTTTGAGGTTTGATTTTCAGTCTCTCTGTAGCTTGTTCATTACTTATTGTTACCTTCCAGACGGGTGCTTCAAAATATCGGGAGATGAAGAATGCAGGGGAAACACCTATTCCGAAGCCTAAACTCTTACCAGATGGTCTCGACATAGAAATCCCTTCTCGTGATAGTGATCGAGGGATTCCTTGTCGTTTATTATATCCATCTTGGCGCAAAACCGTCGAGGAACGAAAGAAAACGAGAGCAATTGGATATCTTATACATGGGGGTGGATGGGTTCTTGGTGATCAACATTCTGCCGATATTCTCCTCCAATTTCATGCTGATGCTGGAGATCTGGCTATCGTATCAGTTGGTTATAGACTTGCTCCTGAATATCCTTTTCCATGTGGTCCGAATGATTGTATTGACGTTGGAGAGTACTTGGTTAAGAGAGGAGAAGAAATTTTTGGTAGCTCATTGAAGTTGATTGGGGGAGAGGTATGTGGCGCCGTTGCATTATATGATGCATCTACTAATACATCTCGATAGAGTGCAGGTGCTAATTTATCCTTACTTGTCGCTTTCCATCTCCTCAAAAACCTTCCCGATTTTAAGTTGTCCGGGCTAGTTCTTCATTGCGGTATATACGATCTCACAATGCTCCCTCAATGTCAAAACTTTGTTCGTGCCAATTTAATACTCGACCACGCCCTGATGCGAAAATTCGTTGATGCATTCCTTCCAGGTATGTCTGATGAAAAGAAGAAAGATTCTCTCGTATCCCCATACTATGAAGATCTCGGGAGGTTCAGAGGAAGATTACCAAGTGCCCTTTTTACATGTGGTACGGAAGATCCGTTGCTAGATGATTCGGTGGCAATGGCTACAAAGTGGATGATGATGGGTGGGGAAGCTGTTATTAAAATTTATACGGGTGCGCCACATGCGTTTATTAATATGAAGGATAAATTGAAGGAAGCAGTGGATGCACAAGAGGATACGAAGATCTGGATAAAGGATTGTTTGGCGAACTTGTGATGAATATCTTGAGCTTGTGCAAGGGAACTAGGAGGTATGGTATGGCTTTTCGGTAATTATTTGACATTGAACGGGGAGGAGAAATGAAGGTACTCTAGTTTGGAATGTCGGAGGAAACGTGTCTGCGTAGAAATATTGTTTCGACATAAATTACACTGGGAATCTTTTTTTTTTCAAACTCATTCTTCTTTTTCTATCAGTCATACTTTAGTCACTTAATATTATACAGAATTACGTGGCTCTGAAAGCTTGTGATCTCAATATTAATGGTAGCTTTTGATGGTATGGAGGAAGGTGACTGGATGAAGTCTAGTGTATGCATCAACCGTCGAAGCGTTCGGTCACATGATTTTTAATATCTCTGTCAGGAAGGTTTAGACGGCCGTTTTCTAAATTTAATAAAATTATATACTTTTGAATCTTTTTTTAGTACTTCAACTCAATTATTATCCATCTACGTTTCGAAACATTGATTAGAAATTAGTTAAAATAAAAGCCCTAGTATTTATTCATATTATACATATTTATTTTTAATGAAATAATATATCGTTGTGATTTATATCTTAGATTTACTAGATCGAAAATCTATATAAATTACTGATTTGTTTTGAAAACATACAAATTTCTATATAGGTTTTAATTATATAATAATAAACTAATATTGAAAATATTTCTTTACTATAGATTTAGATATAAATATTATAAACTATATTAAGAATTAAAAAATAATCAAATGAATAAAAATCTACTTATAAATTATAAATTCAATATTTATTACGGTATAAAAGATGAATTTTAGATTAAATATATAATATTCTATAAGAAGGTTAAAGGTAATATCATATAAATGTATTATATATAAATAAAGATAATGAAGTATCTATTATATTAGTAAACCTATAATAGTATTTTCTTCTTTAAAACTTCCTTGTTTTAAATAAACTAAAAAGAAAAAGAAAAAAAAAAGGAAGTATATTAAATAAATTATACTTTTTTTATATAATGAATACTTAGATTCTTCAAATCCTTTTATAGCTTTTTATATAAGAATTAAAATTGTTTAGTCTCCAGGTTTTCTAAAATTTATTTCAATAGATCTAGTTTTTTTTAAGTGTAAGTAATAATAATAAGCTATAATTTTTTTATTACTCTTAAGATTTGTCACGGCGCCAACTATATAATCTGTAGTTGCCTTCGAGCCTCAGGTATAGACTACTAGCTTGCCCTACTTTCTATAAGTAGGGCCTCACCCTTTCATAGTCCTTCTACTCTTATAGTATAATATAAGTCTTTACCTGTACCTTGATAAGATTTGAGACCGGTTACTAAATTAAAGTATAATATCTTTATTTAATTAAATAATAATATTTATCTTTATTATGATTATTTAGAATATCTTTAAATATCTACTTCTAAACTGATTTATTTTCATTATCTTTCCTTTTAAGAACTCTATTCTGTATAATAATAGTTTTTATTTTATTGATTTAGAATTATATTAGAATTTGTTTATTATTATATACTAATAAAAGTAAGAAATAATGAAATATAAAAAAGATTTATATATTCTTTAATAATTAAACTAAACAAAATCATAGATAGATTTTAATAATTTTATAAGGACTAATCTATTTATTATTTAATTTCTTTGCTTTTTAAGAAGTCTTTATATTTTCATATTAATAAATATCTTTTATTTTATATAATATTATAGTAAATTAATTTGATATTAATCTGTATACTTTTTGTATATATTTATAACTTATTTAATAAATACTTGAAATTAATCTAGAATTCTCTTTATTTTATTAATTATTTTATTATTTTTAAGCTAATATTATTTCTAATAAGTTAAATTTATTTAATTTAATGCTGTGAATATATAGATTAAAATTATAATTAATAAAGAATAAAAAGCGTTCTATAATTTTCGAGATTATATTATTTAAAGTAAATTTTATTAATAATAATCATTTCATTTGATCATTTTAATAGAAATTAATAAAAGTATACAAATATTACTCAAGAACTAAGTTAATATATTTCATTTACTCATTTATTTGTAAATAAAAAAATAAAAAATATTTGAAAATCATTATTAATCTTTCTAATAACCATATTTAAAATCCTAATATAAACTATATATTTTAATTCAAGATAATATTATTTAATATATTATATAAAATATATACTCAATTAATAAATATATTAATCAGTTTTTTTTTTAAAAAAAGTCCTTATATTAATAAAATGATATATTTTTATTAATCTATACATTATTATAAAAATATGTTTATATATTAAATTATAGTATTTGCTTTTTAAAAGAAATATAATATAATTGATTAATATATTAGATTCTACTTGAAATGAGATTAGGAAAGATCTTAAGAACTGTTACGGGACCACCTCTGGGAGCATTCAGAATTTTTACCGCTGAGCTAAACAGCCTAAAAGACTAGGAGATAGAACTGAAAGTTCTATCTTACTCTCACATATATAGTAGGACAGGACAGGAAGGGCTAGTGTCACCTCGTGACAAGAACCCTAGTAAAGCTGACTTTAATAGCCTAGTATAAGTATATAATATATATGCTTATATATATGTGTCAATCTTCTAATATATATTTAGCTATTAATAAATTCAAGAGATAATATCGATAATCTTAATATATTCAAAATGACTAATCAGGTTGGAAAAGTATATTCTATAAATAATTTATATCTTCAATTTATTATTAGATAGTATTTAAAGTTTATTATAATAATATATCCTGTTATTAAATATTTTATAATTCTATATAATAATTCTCATAATCTTTTAGAATTCTATTAATCACTTTTATATATATGAATCTTTAATTACTATTATTAGTTAATATGTTATATTAGACTTCATATAGATATTATTAATTAATTTATTAACAAACTTTTTTTCCATAAATATTATCGAATTTATAAATATTAATTTTACTTTTTCTATTAATTCTTTATATAAATTGTTATCAAACCTTCATACTAATAAAACTATTCTTTTTTTAATCTTTAATTATTTATTATTAGAATTTAAAAGATTTGATTTATCTTCCCGCTTACAATTTAAGACATTCGAATAAATAGCTTTTATACCTAGCCTATATATAATATAAAAATTATATTAAAATAAAAACTCAGATTATCTAATTTATTATTAATTAAAGATTTTTATTATAATGAAATACTCTAAATTTTTATAATTTATAAAAATCTCGAATTTTAATTAGAAGTCCTAAAGTTTAGATTATTATTTTTCTATCAATTTAGTTATTATTAAAAGCTTTTTATTATAAATTTTATAATTATATTCTATTACTAAATGTTTTAATAAAAAGTAGGTTATTAATTGAAAAATATTCTTATTATTATATTAAAAAAGCATTTTTTTTAAAAATCTAATTTAAAATATTGGTTTCTAAAATAATACATTTATTATAATCAAAATATATAATCAAAATATAATTATAAAAATCTGTTTTAATATATTGAAAACATTTTTATATATTTAATTTTCTATTTAATAGATATTCTTATATAATAAATTATTCAAAAAATGATAGATTTTCGAAAAGTTTTTTATAAATCATTAATAAAAATTAATAAATTCTAAAAAACATTATAAATCCTTTATTAAGAAAGATTATTTTTAGGATACAATAGCTTTAATTTTATTAGTATTCATTTTAATATAATTTAAAATAATAATTAGATTGAGATATTATATAGATATTATTTTGAATTTGTATTTATTGATATTAATTTCTAGATTTGTATTAATAAATTTCTAAACAATTATTTATATATACTCCCTATATTTTGTCTTATTATTAAAACAAAAAAGAATATTATAAAGATATATTATATAGTGTTTATTAAGCTTGTAACGAATGTATCATTTAGAATACTAAGGTAAAGAGCTAAAAGAGCTCTTAAAAAGGAAGTAGTAATATACAGAATTATAGATTATATGAGCCCCTAAGTAATTCACTAATATAATAGAATTTTCATACTACTTTTTCCTTTAGAAAAACTTATTCTTGAGTATACAATAATAATATTTTAAATATAGTTTTATAATCCAGCTATATTATAATCTATATTCTCTACTATTCCTAATATGTATTTATAGTTTCAATACTAACTCTGACATTTCTTATAATTTGATTTATAATATTATTAATTATCTTATGAAAATATATACTCTATAATTTCATTACTTTTATAAAAAAGACTTCGAAATTAATAAAAAAGGGTTTCGAAAATTATTGAAAGATAAAATAAGTGAAAGAGAGAAGATTCGTTTGAAATATATTTCTTATTAGTAGTACTAATAAAGCAATGGAAATACTAACAGAATACGAATTAACCTAGTAGATCAATTGAATAAGCTACTTTACTATAATATTAATTGTATAAGCATATTAATATTTCGAATTAATTAAATCCTATAATTTGTATATTAGATTTAGGATCTTTAAATTCATTGTAAAATAAGAAGACTTTAAATAATATAATAAAAAGATATTAGCTTATTAATGAATGAGATTCACGAAAGTAGAGTTAGGGAAAGGTTTTGATTGAAAATCGTATGATAATTGTATTAGGGGAATAGACGTGAAAGGCAGTAGATAATAGACAGTAGGTATTCGACAAGTAGATTAGTAATAGGAAGCTTTATAGAAATAATTAAAAGCTTTTAAATTTTATATAACCTTAATATAATATAACAAATACATTGTTTAAAATACTAAGGTAAAGAGTTAAAAAAGCTTTTGAAAAAGAAATAATAATATACAGGATTGTAGATTATATAAGCCCCTAAGCGATCTACTAATATAACAGGATCGTTACAAAGCTTATTAAAAAGTATATAATTAATATAATATTAAAAAGATATTAATGTATTATATAATCTAAAAGGCATAATAAGAAACTCGAATAATTTAAAATATATAATGAAAATT